AACACATTCGAGATCGCAAGTACACCTGCATGTCGTTCCTGATCAACGCAGCCATGGAATGTTACTTGCTGCAAGCCTGGGCATCGGGTCGTGTGCCCTATTACAACAATTTTATGGATCATCCTGGAAAGACAATTCTCATGTTCATGGCCTATCCATTTTGGCGGGATATTCACTTCTTCTTGTACCATTATCCCATGCATATAGAACCCTTCTACAAATGGATTCATGCTCATCATCACAGAAGCTGGAATACAGGGCCCTGGAGCGGTTTGTCCATGACTCCAATGGAAAGTTCCATCACATTCACCGGTCCGTCTATCCCCTGCTTGATCACGGCGGCCCATCCATTGCTTTTCTTTTATGCCAACATGTTGGCATTTGTCAACCCCGTCTATGGCCACCACGGACACGAAGAATTTGCTGGATCCTATTTTCATTATTTGCACCATTCGAGGGTGACCTGCAACTATGGAATGACATTTACACCGGTGGATCTCCTGACAGGGACGTGGTGCTCGGGCACCAACGAGGATGCATATCTGGCCAAAGTAGAAAAGGGACGGCCCGAAGGATGGACACCCAATGGAGACCACACATGGGGAACCATTAATGCAGATTAAAACCAACTTCTTTGCGCGGGAACCATGAAAGCAGTCTGCAAATTTGTTTGCTCCAGTATTGTATGAAATGTCTGTGGGCTTGTTTGATCACTAATCAATACTTTTACAAAAGAAGACGATGTTTCGTCCATGATTTCTTTCCGTTCAGCAGCTTCAATATCTGTCTTCATTTGATCGTACGTTTAAACTCTACTGCCAAAGTCCGTATGGAAGGTTCCAGGTAGCATAGTAAGGAACCACGAAGTCCCCGTCAAACACTCCATCGAAAGGTCGTGGATGCAACAGAACGAAGGCCTCGACCGGACCTTTCGAGAAACCGTTGCGCCCTAAAACCTCTTCGTGTGCCATCATCCACTGAATTGCACCATGTTTGACTTCTTTGAAACAAATCTCCAATTGCTTCTGCTGATTCTCTCGAACCTTCTTGTCCAGGTTTGCCCAATAGATCTTTGCAACCCCTGCCAAAAGTTGAAGCCTGCTTGCCAGAGTCCCATCCCAAGGGATAGAATAATGCTCTTCGCGCTCTCTCCGGTCGCCGCATTGGAGAATCAATACCATTGACTTGTTAGGATCAAGGACAAAGTACCAAGGTGTTGTTTTGCAGTAGCGCCAGCTGCCATAATAGCGTTTATTTCTCCATTTCAATACGACAGGGCTCGTCCATTCAGTTTTGGTTTTGCTCATTGGACAATCCTCATCATGACCTGGCCAGCAGCCTTTACACGAGAAAGATTTCTTGTAGTGTGCTCCCTTGATGAAGCTTTTCTGCGATTTCTCTCAAGGCTCCCAAAGAACTAGCGCTCGCTTGCGTTACTCCTTCAATCAATTGGTGAGTGCTCTCTTGTGTTACTCCTTCAATCAATTGATGTGTGCTTTGGTGAATGAGGCATCCATCTTTGTCAAACTGTAAGAAGTCTGTGTGTTGGTGACGGTCGATTCGTGACACTGGATAGGCCGTGATGAGATCCGGTCTGCAGGGATTGCAATGCAGTGCCATGCGCACCTTGTACCGGCCATTGTCAAACTCGCCAACATACGACATCTGCTGACGTCTTTTCTCTGCAGTCCAACCTTTGGTTGCATTGATCTTACTGTATGCTTCAGCTAGTTCCTCTTTTGTAAAGGACAACGGAAAGTATGTCGAGCCATTGTAGAGTATAGGACGCTCCAAAGCACTACATTCCCATACCTGGGTGGTTAGATTGGACGGAAGAACTAGTGAAAGATGCTTGTGAGCTCCATTGGGCACATTCAAGACGCAGCTATCTGAGAAACGATGATTCATGTTGGCGGTGATGTGGTGGACACCCTCTACGAGGACTGAGAACAGGATATTATGTTGCCTCCATTTGCTCCCACTGGCTGCATCCTGGATCCGAAGTTCACCGGAAAATCTGATTCTTACGGCAAAGAAAATTGCGTTTCTGTAAGGGGATGGGCAAATCTTGCAATAGCCCTGAATTGTAATGGAGTGTGACTGGCCAAAATCAGTTAAAAAGACGAAATTCGTATTTTTGCCGGAAGATACATTTAATTGGATTGCATTGGATTGGATTGCATTGAATTGGATTGAATTGGATTCCAAATAGGACTGTTATTTGTATAGTAAACTGTAATTCAATGCAATCCAATCTAATCCAATATAATCCAATGCAATCCAATCAAATCCAATAGAGAAAAACAGCCAAAGTGAAAGATTGGCTTAGCGCACACAATTTTTACAAAAACGCTCTAACAAATTCAACACAGAGCCATGGGCAAGTTTGCTCATCCCCTAATATTTTGTCGTCCATACAGTACTGCATCTGGGCTAGTACCATGTGTGTACTGGTATGATATTGCTTGGCATGGCAAAAGCTTGCAAAAGATATTTCTTGTACCGGTACGACGGTAGTCTAGTACAGTCTGATTGTCGTTGACGGGAGCTATGCGTCTAATACAACACCATGAGCAACGGAGTAGATGCTATCACGTTTTAGCGTTGTGAGCTATTTTGTTCTGGGTTCTGGGACGAAGGCACATCTCTTCGCGCGGCTTACACAGTCGGACCATTGATTCCAGGAAGCTTAATTGTTGCCACAGTGGGAGAAAGACTGCCATCGTCGCTTTCAGTAGACGCAAGTTTGTCATAGGGCAACCGGCCGTTTGGCTCGTTTCTTCTTCCTGGTCGCCGCAACAGTCCTTTGGCTCGTTTCTTCTGCTTGGTCGCCGCCAAGATTCGGTGCGCCTTTTCGATATGATCCAAATCCTGGTCCCATGCACTCGAGGAGTCCATGTAGGTTGCGGTTGAATTGGCCTCCGTATCTATCGATATACTGTAGGGTCCCCATCATACCAGGACGGTTAAGTAAAAGTTGACTTTGGGGAAAATGGGGTTTTCGAAAGGAAAAGTGTTGAAGTTTTGAATTGTTAGATTTAACAGCACTGAAACTGTTGAAATTGGTTCAACACTGTTGAA